AATCTAACGTTAGCGAAAGACATTACTCCAAGGGTGGCCGGCCACATTCTTTCAAATGGCGCATAGGACAGCATCCAACACATAACAGTCTCGGCCGTAACGCAAAACGATACCTCGATAGAAAACAAGCTAAATCGCATTCCCACTCGGACTCACTCACGCCAATATTCGTTCGTTTGCTCACATCGGACGGTGAACAGTAGAATGCCACTTGTGACCCTTTTCAATCACAGTCCGAATCCGTCATCGATACTATAAACCACCAACACCAACAATTAAACACTGTGCTCAAAGTGTTACGGGCTCGTGCCAAATCAAACCCATGCATCTGCAATTTCGAACAGACAGACAGACAGACAGACAGACCGATACCAAAAACATTGCACCGCGGATTCGAACGATCAAATACAATCCGGACGGACGATCAGTCGACGAGTATGGAAAATACAAGCACAACAGAACTCTCACGCTTCTCGCAGGTTACACAGAATAAATAGCACAAAAGTGAACGCTGATCGGAGACAGAGAAACGACGGTAAGGCGCACACTGAACTGAACCGAACAGGTAATCCAGAACCTGATAAATGACCAATCAACACTGTACGGAAATAGATCCGACAACAACATACCCTTAATGCTATTCTATTTGATTTCCGATCCCTTCTGGGGGAAGGACGATGGCAACGGGGCGAAGGGAGCGCCGGCGGAGGGGGGGGAGAAGAACAGCTTTACGAAAACCATTTACTTACAGCACAGTGTCTTCGCTCAAAACATCATCCGGAATAGGTCTGGGCCTGTAGCTCTCCATTCCGCACAACCAAGTTCTCTCAAATTCTTCCCCGTCCACGCTCCTCGGTCACACCCTATGTAGCTCACTCGCCATTCGACAGGTGCAAAAGCTACTCAAACATCCCAGAATCACACACTGGTCAAGTTCAACAGGATAAACCATAAACGTCGAATTCGGCAGTAGATCTCGTACATGCACTCAGAAAAAAAAACCAGTAGTCGCATACCACACAATCACCACCATCTCGCCCGATGCTATAAACCTCGCTCGTCACTCTAAGGAAATCTCGTTTAGCCCGTATCTCAAACGGTTTACCGCGGAGTGGCCGCTCGGGCAGCCCTAAACTTGTGCCAGAGTCAAAACCGAGAGGAGGAAAACGACGGATGGATTATTACATCACCAGAGACAGATAGGACAGACAGGCGACCAGTCGCCAAGTTCTGGTTCTACTCACATCACTCGCCCAAACACCCTTAAACGTGGCATGCGTGAGTGCGCAAACAAACGGAGAGACACTATTCGAAATGTGCTCCACACTGCACAAAATACCTCGCAAATTGAACCCTAGCAATCAATAACGAATACCGACTCAAGCAAAAACGCTACCACAATTCATTCAAAGTACAGTCCCGACGAAAACCATGCGAAACAATAAAAAACCTCAGTTCACAATTGTCCCACCTCGAACCAACGCGTTACCAATCACTACACACATACACACACGCAAGCACGCACACACAAAAAAACGAAATGAAATTCACAAAGGTTGCATAATGTGAGACAACGGATATCGTCAACCGCAAACTCAACACATCAAATGAGTAAAATTATAATTCACACAGACAGCACTGTACGAGGAACAACCAGTACAGTCCGCTCGAATAATAAAACATCAATTCGTTAACCTGTGAAAATCATAACGGAGCTACGAATCACGAGAGCGCTAGGTCGTGCACAAAGCAGAGATCGGAGCAACGCCGCTTCAGTGCGTTGCGGTACCCGAAAAAGGTGGAACGGAGAAAAACGCAAACGAATACTAGAAGCAGAAAGCCACTTCAACCGCGTCAATCGGACAACTACCGGCGGTGTGGTTCGAGGAACAAACGCACGAGCGGACTGATGGAACGACCGGTTCACTACGTGACAGGGAACAAACGTCAAATACACTCGCACACTCAGCTCACAATCAACCAGTGCTAAACCACACTCCGCTGCAGAGAAAGCGAACTGTATGAATGGCATTACTGCACAATCTCGTGCTCCTCAGGAGGAGAAACAAGGCCGATTAGGTGCAACAAAACCCGCGTTCAACAGCGGACCAATGCGCGTTCATCACATTACATCTAGAAGTCACTGGGCGACAAGATAACCCATGTCGTTTCACCCATCCCCTCGCCTCCTCCTATCCCAATTCGGATCACCTCACCTCACCACAAAAAGACGTCAATTCAGACAAAAACATTCAACAACGACTAACACCACCGTTTCATGCGTCACATGATTTATTTCCGATCTGCACATGGATAGATCAACAATTATGGAGCAAGTTGATGGACTAATAACAAACGTGGTAGAATCCGGTTAAATGAGGTCATGTCAAATAGTGTCGCAGCTGGAACGAAGTGTAAGACTCTGTTCTTGTCACACACTCAGAAAGACTGCACATCCAATGTAGGAGATTGTCTGTCGTTAGACCATGCTAATCAATCTAACGTTAGCGAAAGACATTACTCCAAGGGTGGCCGGCCACATTCTTTCAAATGGCGCATAGGACAGCATCCAACACATAACAGTCTCGGCCGTAACGCAAAACGATACCTCGATAGAAAACAAGCTAAATCGCATTCCCACTCGGACTCACTCACGCCAATATTCGTTCGTTTGCTCACATCGGACGGTGAACAGTAGAATGCCACTTGTGACCCTTTTCAATCACAGTCCGAATCCGTCATCGATACTATAAACCACCAACACCAACAATTAAACACTGTGCTCAAAGTGTTACGGGCTCGTGCCAAATCAAACCCATGCATCTGCAATTTCGAACAGACAGACAGACAGACAGACAGACCGATACCAAAAACATTGCACCGCGGATTCGAACGATCAAATACAATCCGGACGGACGATCAGTCGACGAGTATGGAAAATACAAGCACAACAGAACTCTCACGCTTCTCGCAGGTTACACAGAATAAATAGCACAAAAGTGAACGCTGATCGGAGACAGAGAAACGACGGTAAGGCGCACACTGAACTGAACCGAACAGGTAATCCAGAACCTGATAAATGACCAATCAACACTGTACGGAAATAGATCCGACAACAACATACCCTTAATGCTATTCTATTTGATTTCCGATCCCTTCTGGGGGAANCCGGCCACATTCTTTCAAATGGCGCATAGGACAGCATCCAACACATAACAGTCTCGGCCGTAACGCAAAACGATACCTCGATAGAAAACAAGCTAAATCGCATTCCCACTCGGACACAATCACGCCCATCATGGCTCTCTCGTTCTCTGTGTACATCGGACGGTGAATAGTAGAATGCCACTTTTGGCCCCTCTCAATCACAGTCCAAGTTCGTTCTCGCATTCGGTGGTTGACGATCACTATCTAGCATTAGATTAGGAAGAGAATGGCTCGCCCCAGGATGTGAGCAGAATCATACGATGACCGTGCTACGGTGGTCATATACTAACAATGTATATAGTGTGGACTGCGAAGGAACCGTGCGAAAATACGACGTACAACGGAATCTGTCTACGTTCTTGGCCTGCAGGTATCGTCCTAACATTGAAGGATGAGCGTACGAATAGTACAAAATAAACAGGGCCTCCTGGAGACAACTTTCGCATCTGAGCACTGAACTGGACGCGCAATTGGAAAGAGAACAGAGGAGTCATCAAAATGTATAACCTGTTTTCAAGGTTAGACAGATGCGGGGCCACAAGATTTGATACACGAATGTATAACCGTCCGTTTTTGCGTACGACACACGGGAAATTGCAACGAGGGTGGCCACGGACAACTGAGTTGATGGAGAGAGAGGGTAGAAAGGAGTTGCGTGTAGAGGGAGAGAGAGAAAGAAATAAGAAGAAAAGTGATAGAAAGCACCGCCACGGAAAATGAGCACATTCAACTCGGTGTGCAGTGCGACCGTGTTTACCGCACTTTTCGAGTGTGAGCGGACCAGAGACAATATAGTTTATAGCCAAAGTAAACGCTAAACCCATGAATCTGAATGCATAAGGAGAAGAAAATATACAGGAGTACGATCAACGGGAAGCCATAGAACAGATGGCGTGGTTTTCGTGTCTCGTAATATTGCAGCAGTTCGTAGGCGTGCTGAAATCCGCCAATAATGACCGAACCCAAACCGAACACGATGGTCCCGGTGATCGAGATGCGCATCAGTCCAGTGCGATTTCGATTCAAGGATAAATAACCGAACACGGTGGGTAGAAGGCTACCGAAACACCAGACGTACTCCCAAAGATTGGATTGGGGAAATGGCCACTACAAAAAGAATACGGTATATGACTGATTGGGCGAAGTAGAAACCAACCTTCTCGACAAGAAGTCTCGTTTTCAGACCGAATCGCAGGCACAACTCTGGGAGTAGACGGACAAACATCAGGACCCAGAGGGACAGATGAAGCATGAACACGAAACGAATGCGTCGTTTGAGCAGCGGTCTGTAAATGTGAAACAGAGAAAATCCCAGGTAAAAGACTGGTGTCGACTCGGACAATNAAAAACGACACGACACTATTCGGAGTCTAGACTGTGCCAAGAAAATCACGGTAAAATAATATTGGAGAAAAAGCTTTGTGATCTGCGAGCACAGATTACCTTTTCAAAATAGCATAACGAACCATGGGCCTAGTGTTAGCGTAAGTTGTTTGATCAAGTGGAACACCGCAACAGTATGAGTGTCCGGGACCGCGGTTGTACAACTGGCATCCGTTTGTCCTACGCGCGTCCATCACTCCCAATAGATACAGTCTCTTTCTTCGTAAGATTAGTCTACTCGTCCAGAACAAAGCTTTTCTCCTGCCACGGCATACAGATTTAACTCTCAAAGCAATGAGCAAACTAATAGAAATCGCGATGTTTGTGACGATGAATCCTAATGTTTCATTGGTTCTCGAAACGGAAGCTCCGGATACAGCTTTGGCGGCTTCGTTGAGTGAACCCAATCGATCGGTAACCTTTTCCTCACGTACACTGACCCCTAACGTAAAGCGTGCAGTCACCGTTGCGAAGGACGCTTGCGTGGCCGCAGAAATCGTCTGAAAATGCTGGCACTATCTCAGATAGAATTGCATACCAAAAGCGATCTGTGGCTTTTATGTACGACAGCAAATGAAAATGAGAGGCAAAAAGANAAAGAATGGTGAAATAATGAGGTGCGCATCAGGATATCTACAAGTCACCACACGGGCCGGAAGGGATAGCCAGGTAGTTCACGTTCGGCAGCATTGCGAGTGTCTGATCTTTTTTACTGAGATTAATCTTAAAGCTTTAAGTTTAAGCTTAAGTTCATCTGACCACCTTGGGAGAAACAATATGATTCACTTTGTCAGTTCTGAAAACTTATCTGGCTCGGTAGATGGGACTTAGTTTTCAGGCGAATCTTCTGTACTGAAATTAAGCTAGGTTTCTATCAATCTGCATACACACGTACAATCTACATATGGTGGGACAAAAACAGTTCAGCCATGATATAACATACATAGTTATTATTCTCTACTGTGTTATTTCCGAATCTTCACTTTCTGTGTTAGCTCCACAAACAAGCATTTCATATCGAATAAGGCTCAACTGTTTACCGCAATTTATTATTGAATTTCTAAACAGCTTCAGCCCCATAAATGACAGAATCAATAACGTCCTTCCATAACTAATCCTCTCTCTCTCTCTCTTAGCCCATTTTTCTGAAACATAAAATACCCTAGACAACTGGTTCATCATTTGCCAAACACCGCATTTAGGCGCAATGGGTAGTTCATCGCCAAATAAATTGTATTGTGAAGCCTCGTTAACCTCTGAGTATGGGAGGGGCTTCAATGTGAGGACTTATGCAGGTGGGTCAACACGCCTGACCGAGGAATGCAACTGATGAAACCCGCTGAGTAGGTCAATGCAAGGTCAGCATTGTACCAAACAGAACCCAAGCCTCACGCGTCAATTTTTTATTACACAAACTGTTGAGTGCTGAACAGGGGAGACACCCCGTAATCACCAGGATCTACCGCTTAGTCATGGGAACCGGTATACCAAACCCCGAGAACAAATGTTGAACCAAGTAAAGTCCCACTAGCATAGTGCCAACGCCACAACAGTAATAACAATAAAAATAACATACGGCAGGTGGGTTGAAAACCAGAACAAAGTGGAAAGGTGGAGAAGCAGTTAAACACGGGAAAATGGTAGATAAATGAGATAACAAAAATTTTGTGTTTCACCGTACACCTGATATTTTTTACGGGGCATGGGATTTCGACAGACAGACCGTACACCATTCGCGTCACTGACTTCCATTCTGGGCCATATCTCTCAGCGTCTCTAACTAACGACAATCCTCATCCCTTGGGCCCCAACCTGGAGGTCGGGCTGCACCAACCGAAGCCAGCTTCTTCAGGTCTCTAACCCATATCATGGTCTGACCACCGCGCCACTTCTTTCAGCCTTGCCCGACACTTGCGAAGAGAGCACGGAAAGGTAGTCGATGGGCAGGCATACGCAATACGTGACCAAGCCATCGGAGGCGGTGTAGAGCGATTACTTCTGTTAGGGAACGACTATCCACACCTAACACANCAAACTTCACTGATCGTTGACCTGTAGTCCCTTGGTAGCAGGAGCTTCCGTGACTCCTAGAAAAATTCGGACAAATCGGTGTGCTGACCATAGAGACTCGCTTTCTTTTCCCGTCCAATCCCTGTCCTCCTCACACATTCTCACTTATCTCGTATGCAATGAGTTTGGCAGTGATCAATAAAGTTTGCTTCACTGTATTACGCTGTACAACGATGATGATGAAGCAGGAGTGACAGGAGAGAAGAGCACGATTTGAAATTCCTGAAGGCCGCACAAAAGTACAGTTCAACCATCAAAATGAAAGATAGAACTGCTGCTAAAAAAGGTTTCTCGGATTTCGGGTATGGACGGGCAATGCCAAACAGGATTCAGACCAACTAGAATCCTGAGAATAATTATCTTATTCCACCTATTTGAAATTAAATCAGAACGGTTGGATTTGTTGATAACTATGGATCCCAATTCTCTCCATTAAGATCCATCTACTAGTATACTTTGGGGAATAGCGAAACAAACACGTATTAAACAGCCTCCATGACCTCAGTTTCAGTAAAAAAAAAACTGATAACTGTTCGATTTCACATTTCATTTGATCTCAAAATCGATGCTTCTAATGTGAAGACTGTCAACTTCCGAAATTAAGGATGCTGGATCACATCTTTTTATAATCATCATCATTGTACAGCGAAATACAGTGAAGCGAACTTCACTGACCGCTGCCAAACTCGCAACGCATACAAGGTGGACAGGGATTGGATCTATTTTGAGGGAGGGAGAAGAAGATGAGCCGCTATGGTCAACACACGCGATCGTATGCAATCGAACTCTGCATACATACTGTTTCAAGCATTCTGACCTGATAAGAAGCGACAAGAACGCCACTGCTGCCGGTTCGCTGCCATATGCATCAATGTCTCCAACCAACCAGTTGTGGAGTCTTTCGGACCCCAACCTGGAAGGTGAGAGACACTTACTCTACCTAATGGCTCTGTGCATTTCTTCATGCCTCGTCTCCACGTCATCTGTTGACCTCCACGTGGTTTCCTCCAGCCCGAATTAGCTACAGCGAATAAAGCGCGGTGCGACAGACGATGACTGGGCATACGCAATACGCGCCCTAGTCAGCGAAACCTGGTAATCTGAAGTCGGTATGCTAGCAGGTTTATACCTGACTGACTCCCAAACACACGATGGCTTACCTCCACGTTACTAGCCCGTTTGCTCCATCCAACATGGGCTACACTGCGTAAACACCGATAATCGAAAATTTCTAGTCGACGGATATCTTCTACTCGCAAATTCAGAGTCTTAACCATCAAGCAGGACTGAACGAACGGTGGCACAATATACATGACCTTTCAACTTCAGTGAAACGTCGCATCTACATCAAAATCTTTTCATAAACGTTGGTAGATATCAGCACCACGACGATTGAAAGGTATTTCGAGCAATAAAGAAATTAATCTTTTGAACAATTGGATGTGGACTTCAAATATTGTTTTCTTCAAAACGCAACTTATATTTTCTCTCCGTTATCTACGAACGTTACGGATCATCTTTGCTGTAAGATGATGATTTCCATTTAACCCCACCTGCTAAGATGCGTAACCTTTCACAAACATTAGATATCGGACATGTTTGGTTTTTATTGCCCATTTCAACTAGTTCCAACTGAATAGCCCCATTTGGATTATCTTGGTTTCAACGAGAAGCTAGCATTTTTTATAAAAAGACCAGGTGGAACGCATGAATGTTAATTAATGAAAAGCCACCATATTGCCCCTGCGAAGACGAGGCTTTTCAGCATCATCATGGGATCTGCTCCAGATTTCCTGCGCCCCGTCTCATCATTACTTAACACGAAAACAACTCTCGGATCCCATTTTCGCTTTTCCCGATGCCCATACAATTTCACGTCATGGTGTCTGATGACTGTTGGTTCCATGATACCCAGGGCATAACATCGAGAGCCGGTGAGCTCCATTTATTCGTTGTTATCTGCTTATGTGGAACTTCCTACTGGTTGATAAATGCTTCTGCTGGTCACTTGGCCCCAGAAAGCTACACAGTTAACAGTCGAATCACATACTTTTGACTACCACTTCATATACATCGAACACAGATCAATCGTCGGTATTATAAACTGAGTACTTCTGTTTTTAGCTCGCGTTCTCAATATCTAAAGATCACCTGCCGACACGGTATCCAAATGATGGTCGCCCAGTGCATATGACCGGCCAATGTTTTATCCTACTTCTAAGATATCTGCAGTATGGATTACATCTTCGTGCATCAATCTATTGATTCTACATTTGAAAATAAGGGTTTAAAAGCCACCGGACGCCGCAGGAATGAAAGCGGTCGATTGTGAGGCACTGGATAAGTGGTTGAGGAAAAGTAGATCGAATCTGAAACCAGTGACTTCGGCAAGTATTCCAACTTAACCACAAAACCATAAATGTACGATACAAGCCCCAGTTTGTTTCTTTCCATGCAACAGGGCAGGCAAAACCAGAAATAGGACTATAGGTCGAGCATTTTGATCAACTTAATCGACCATTTACTAATGACAAACCACTTTTCGACGTGAGCGATATAATATCAACTGCGAGCGACTAAGCACGACAGGAATCAGGAGTGTAACCCAATAAATGAATGGGAAAGCATTCAAGAAGTGCGGATTCCCACTGAGTCTTTAAGACCTATTGGTCTTAGTTAGTCGGTACACAATGTGCTATTGTGAACCTTGGATGTTTGACCCCGTCCGAAAGGCATGATCCAATGAACTGGACACCGGCTTTCAATGCATCGCGGTTTTCGTACACCTCCCTGCTGCCTTGCGGGTCAGACTTTGGCTAGCCGAAGGCTCCGGTTGTGGATTCCCCAAGAAAATATACCCGCATTGGTCTGGGTAGCCTAGCTTATTCGGCTCGCATGCAAATCGTGGAATGTTTTCTTTTTATGAAGACTATTGTACCACGATTTCTTTCGCACACTGTCTGAACTCAGACGATATATATATATATATATATATATCACGTAAACAATTACATGG